AACATATAATAAATAATAAACAATAAATATGACAATTTTGAAAATGTGCTATCATTTCGCCGACCCTATTTGACATATTTGGTTAATAATTTTAAAAACCAAGAAGAGACGTTTTATTTTCTTTATAAATATTATATTACTATCGGGTACTGTTTATATACCACTCGTCAAATTTCGGGGATTTTGACTGTATTCATTATAACTTAATGATAGCACATGTGTGCTATCTTTTTGTCCAGGTGTGTACAGGGAAAGCTATTATTTCGTTTCACAATTCAAAATAATTTTAATGCAGAATTCAATACTAATTATTGTTAGGAGCGAACCTAACAGGGTCCAGAGGAGAGGAGAAACGGGGTACGCAAAATAAATAAAAGATATTCCAATTTGGAATTAAAAATCAAAAATTTATTAAACCGATCACGAGGCGGTCGATTTCCCCAATCACCGTATAATACGAAGCAAATAAATAATTTGTGTTTCGTAGCGGGGAGTTCGCTCCCGAGTGTCCTTAGCCCGCAGAATTGCTCCCAACTAGTCAGCATCGATTGATTTAATCAAACAAAAAAAAAATAAAAAAAAAAGAATGGAACCAAATTAAATTCTATTCCTTAACGACTAAAGTGGACTGTATTTAAATTATCGAGAGTAAACTCTCGCTTCGAGTATTTCTCAACTAACCCGTAATCGGGTGAGGAGAGCCTCGGAAATTGCACTGATTCGTTACGCCGAAACAGAGACCACGGATCGCTCCTTGCTCGGTGCACACTCAGCTACTTCTGCTGGGTGTGGGAGCCCGTGTTGTAAGGCCGAATCTCCGACTGACCCTATACGATGGACAATCTCCTCACAAGCTACACCTCCTTATTCCACGGTGTACCTTACCAGGGAAACTCATCCGTCGTTTTTTCCGCGGTACACTACAGGTTACCGAGTGATTCAATATCAAACCTGCTGCAGGCCCTATATCAGGACGTGGTTTCTCGACCGGTAATCAGCCAAGAATATTTCGAGGATTACGGGACGATCGTGACTCAAATACGTTCTCAGAGTAACGTATTCTTGTTCCGACACAGGAATCAATGTTTAAATCAGGAACGGAAGATAATCTTCCGTTCATATCGGCCCTAGGAAAATTGAACGATGACCGTATGGAAACTAGCGGCAAGATCATCTCGTTAATCCCAGCGGAGGTACACCTTCGTTCAATTGAACTCGCCTGAGATCGACCTTTTCCGTACGATTATCGTCTGAAGCGATCGAAGGCCTAAGCTGACTAAAAGCAGAATGATAGCGAGGCTCGGTCGTTTTTTCTGCAGGGAAGCTAATTTTCCGCTAAGTGGCGTAGACGTCGAATATTTTCGCTCCCTTTCCCGCATATGTAATTCCGAGTAACCAACGCATATTTACGCATATTTCATATTCGAATTCTCGTTACACGAATTAATAAGTATGAACAAGGCCGAGCAATGCTCTTAAATCTTGTAAAAATCATTGATCTTCAAACAATTATAATTGAAGTTGCATTATTGTGGCATATACATATTGATGCATAAGGAATATACTGATGCTTTGTTATACGAGTTAGAAATTACAATACAAAGATACACGTATAATTATAGTAAAGGTGTATATTTTAATAACGTCTTTGTAAAAGAGTCTTCGCAATACACGTTTAGTTTCGACATTTTATCCTATTTCTACGATATTCCCATGAAATTGAAGTTCTCGCCTTTTAACTCTATATCAACATTTGGCAGATTTAGAGTTTCTTTGAATATGTCCTCATCCTCTATTGGGTCGCCATTAATAACAGCCACAACCTTTTTATTATCCAACATCGTTATGTGATTTCCTTCAATCTTGTGCACTGTTACTTTTCCATGCGTCAACTTAAAGAAAGAACATAGTTTTAATGTATGAAATCTCAGTGCAGTGATAAGTAAACATTAATTTAAAATCTGTTACCTTGCTGAGACCATAATCTGGATCCGGTAATTGTGTAGCTGGATTTGTTGGTACCAATAATGTAATAGGTGTACTAAGAGGTGACGTGGTAGACGGGTCATATTTGTCTAACAAACACAGACGTTTGAATATAAACGAAATAATTGCTTTCTGAACATCCGGAGAATAGATTTTATGTACTTCATCAGGCATGTGTTTGATTGTCACGTTTAATTTTTCGTCCCAATCATTGCAATTCAGCAATTCTAATTTACACTATAAAATATAATATTCGAGTAAATTAATTATTCACTTTCATGTATCAAGATCTTTTACTATTGTGGAAAGATTTTCACCTGCAAGAAAGTGGGTGATCTGACGACGCGCAACACGTCAGATAGAAATTTATTTTGATATTCGTGTTCTGAAGCAGCTACGAAGTGTTCAAACTTTATGGCTTTCATGTAATCGGGAGAACCATCTAATAATATAAGGTGCCCAACTAACGCACGAGCTTCCAGTTTCCTTATTAACTCTATAGCTACTAGTGATCCATATGAGTATCCCACAATCACAAAATCTCTGCGACCTTTGGTCCTTGCTAGAATGTGCTAAAAAATAACGGAAATTAAGAATTGTATTATTTATTACGATGGTAATGACAAAATGAAACAAATCATCTTTTCTTAGAAAACGTACAGGTATGAGGAGATCAGCCATGTCTTCTATAGATTCAACCGAATCGTTTATTCCTAGTTGTAGACAAGTAGCAGGTAATTTTAATTTCGGTGCTAAAGCAGTGAATATTTCAGCAGATCCTTCAATACCGGGTATAAGGAATACTTCGTTCTTTTCCTGACCACATTTAACAGGTAGTTGTACACAATACTGTCCATCTAATAGAGAAACATTTATGGTCCTCATCAGTATTTGCATGCCACCTAAATTTTCCGTCTTTTCAACTCTCTTCTTAGTTTGTTTCGTTTGCTTTTTGGTATCTGTGGTAGACATTGCCATAAGCTTGGCGAAATTCAGGGCTCTGATATCCTGCGGTGTCAGAAATAGTTCGAAATCTCTCTCTAAAGTTTGTTTTATTTCTACTAACATCATGGAGTCCATCCCTAGTTCAGCCAAAGAAGTAGTCTGGCTCACAGTTTTAAGATCCTTTATATCTAATGCGAAAGAATAATTTTTCTGATAAAATTGCGATATTGGATTAAATTTGCTTATACGATATGCAACCTTGAATAAATGGTTTTAAAATGGATGATTTCGAAGCATACTTACTCATTATATTCATCATCGCTTCAAGGACGGTGCTAACCTTACTGGCGCTCGGTCGTTTTTCAGCCACTACCATGCTAGCCACAATTGGTCTACTCTGACACATAAATTTATCGAATTCTTCCAAACACGAAGATATCCTTTGGGGCAATGTTCCACCAATTTCTAATTGCTGCCTATTTTCCAACATGTCAGCTGCAAGACCGACATCTCCAACAGCTCCCCACTGAATTGCCATGCCAGGAAGGCCTTCTTCTACTCTTCTTTCGCAAATTCTCTCCAACACGGCGTTTCCCATACCATAATTAGTTTGTCCAGCAGTTCCCCTTCCACACGACAGGGAAGAAAAGACTACGAAGTATCGAAGTTTTGGACAAGTTTTCCTTGAAACTTCGTCCAATTTCTTAGTGATTTTAGCCTTTGGTTTCATGCTCTCTTCAAACAATTTTACTGTTTGGTTTTCCATTAAACAATCTTTCAACACCGCTGCCAGATTGAAGATGCCATCGACAGGAGCCTGTTTCTCTGCTGATCGTAAAATGAATTCGCAATCGTCCGTTTTTGAAGCATCTACGCCGGAAATAATTTGAACCTTCACGCCATAGGATTTCCATACTTCTGTCCTCAGTCTCTGATACCCAGTTTTTATTCCATTTCTGGAAACCATTACTAAGTTCTTAGCACCACGTAAAACGAGCCAGTCTGCAACCTCAAGACCAAGTCCACCTAAACCACCAACAAGTACGTAACTTTTGCCTTTCATAGCGTTGAAACGAGGATAAGCAAGAACATGAGTATTTAGAGGAGTCTCTTCGTCTGCTATTTTAATTACAATCTGTAGAAGAAACAATAACAGTATTCGGTGAAGAACGGTCAAATCAGTTGATGTTAAAAATGACGTTAGGGAAAAATGAAGAATAAAAATAATTACCTTTCCAATATGCTTTCCTGCTGCCATGTACCTGAATGCTTCTTCCAACTGATCCTTCTGGAAGGTCTTCCGTACTATCGGCTTGATAGCTTTAGCCCTATCTTTCAATTGTTTATTAATAAAATTATACATTTCTTCTTGTAGAACAGGCGAAATACCGGCGATCATGCTATCCAGTAAAACTCCATGAAAACTTATTTCTTTCAAAAATATCTCCATTCCTAGTTTATTGTTAGCCGCCAAGTCGAATTTACCAATTTCTAAGAAACGGCCGCGGTAACCCAAGCATCTAACAGATGCTTGGAGTTTGTCTTCAGCTAAAGAATTTAAAACTACATCGACACCTTTTCCGTGCGTTTGTTTCATCACCATCTGTTCAAAACTAGTATCTCGAGAGTTTCCTATATGATCATCATCTATGCTGGGGAAGGTTTCCTTAATGAACTTGCGTTTTTCGGGCGTGCCCACTGTAGCGAAGACCTCGCAACCTTCTGCGAGGGCCACGTTGATCGCTGCCTGACCTACAGCACCACTTCCTGCATGGATCAGTACCTTTTCCCCTTTTTTTAATTTTCCGAAGTAGAAGAAAGCGTAGAGTACGGTGAAGTAGGCAGACGGAATTGTTGCTGCATCTTCGAGGGACCACTCATCTGGTACTGGCCACACATTTAATTTATCAGGAGTGACTAGATTCGATATAGCCCTGAATAACAAATTAATAGATGAGTTTAGTGAAATACAATTAAAAAAACAAAGCAAATTACAATTGTAAATAATTCATCTTACTTGCTATCTACAAAGCCCATTACTCGCCGACCATTGGAGTCGATGCCGCTGAATTCGAAGCCGATTAAGCAGTCTGTACTTTCTCTTTTCCTTGTAATGGCTTCTGGCATTAGTTTTCCCGTAGCTAGCATCACATCTCGAAAGTTCAAAGAAGCGTACACCACCTTCACGATATTATCGTACTTCGCATCAGGTTGTATTGGACCCTGCATCCACTGAATGGAACTCAAATCTCCTCTTACCTATAATATGATGTGTATAATCTTGGGAAGAAATATACGATTTTAGTCATAATACGTTCACACCCACTTTTAAGTTGACATATCCATTTGGAACTGGAACTGGCTTCACTTCCGGATATGGTACGTGTCTGTAAGTACCCCAAATTCTACCCGGTCTTAAAACATTATAACCAATGTTTATGTCCAGTTGTTCAGAGTAAAATGGATCGTTTAATGAAAACTTTGGTGCATTCTTATCTTGAATTATTACAGCCTTGACAATTTCACCATTAGGTTCTCTTCTCAAACATTTGACCATACCTAATAAACCATTCTCCATATCTCCTTCGGCAACTAGCACCAGTCTTGTTGTTTCATTAGTTTTTTTATCTTTCTCGTTCTTCATAATCATTTTCACCTTTTCAATCCAACTGAATTCATTATTGTTTACGTGCACTACCTCTGTTTTCTGAGGTGGCTTCTCTTCTTTCTTCAGAAGCAGTAAAGTCTGCTTATTGAGACTTTTCTCTAAAACGATGTTCAGCCCGCATGATTTAAGGAAAGGAAATGTATCTTTATTAATACCGCTCTCTTGAAGGAGAATAAATCCCTTATCTTCTGTTGCGTGTATTAGTTGTACTAGGATGTCTGGTTTTTTACTACTTAGAACATCACATGCAGCTGCCATGAAAGCACTCGCATCTTCCGGCAATTTATTGTCTTCAATTACCGTAACATTCTCAGGAAGTAATAATTCTTCTTTTCGACTCGCTTTTGCACACAGAATCAAATTTGGGCGAACCATTGGTAAATTACTTAGAACTTTCATGAAAATAGGGGTAAGAGTTTCTGCAATTGGAACCTTCTCTTCTTCATGAATTACTTCAAGAATCTTTGGAGTAGTTGTTATGTGACTTTCCAGTGCTAGTTGGGTGGATAATATTATCATTTCTTCTAAAGATGTTTGTGCATTATCTCGATTAGCGACGAACTTGTATTCTTCCAAAACTGGGTCTGCCATTGTTCTCCGCCGTTGAATACTATTAGCCTTTATCCCGCGCATTTCTATTCCTCCGGCTTTTACTACGTCATAATCTTTGTAAACAGCTACTGGTATTTCTATAATTAAAATTTTATTATCGTGTTTTATACTTATTTGTAAACGACATTTCCAAACATTGTATCACATACCATTGTCTTCTTCTGTAAAATAGCGAATCCTGTCATTGTGTCCTGTCACGTCTATCGTTATCCTACTTATGGCTGTTGGCACATATAAGGCTCTGGTATCCAGGCTCAGTATTTTCATTTGTAACATATTGTCCATAAATGCGGCCCAGTTTTTGTACCAGACAATACGTCCTCTAGTTCCTTTAGTAGATGCACTCTTCAGGCCACGGAATAGCCCCGTGTACTCGTAGCCACGAAGTTTCAATTCTGTGTATATATCCTTATGATTAAGAGATTCTATATCGTCAACTGGTGTCAAATATTTGACATCAATATTTTCTTTTGTGGGATTCGTCAATTCACGGATCTTCCCTGTTACGACTACCGTAGATTTTTCCGATATCTCGAATTTTCCGGAACCTGCAGTACCGCTAGAGCTTATTATTTCGAACCATTCTGCATATGATAAATGTGATGTATAAAGAAACACATGCCTCTGTGGATGATTATAGTTAATGGAACGCTACTATCCACGGATATAGTGGTTGCGCGTTCAAACCTTATATCCTCGAAAACCACTGATACTTCATCGTACAGTTTCCCTTGTAACATGCTGAGGGTTTCCCAAGCCATAATAAGATATCCAGTAGCTGGGATCAACGTTCTTCCATCGATCACATGATGCATTATGTACTCATAATTTTCATCTTTAAGCGCCACGTTAACCATCCTTTCGGCGGTAGTAATTTTCAGACGTTGTGTGTACGCTGGAACGAACCAATTTTCCGAGTGCTCCCACCTAAAGTGTAACGTTTGTGTTTGGTAGTGTTTTAAATTAGTTTCATAAATAATATGTCGTACATAATCACCTAATGTAGGGAGAGATCATGGGTGTACCACGACTAACTGGAAAATGTATGGCTGGATAAAGATTTGCCATTTGTGGTTGCAAACCAGCGTTGTATAATTTTCCAAATGCTTGCAAAATGTATTCTACGTTGTCTTTGTGCCCTCTTTGAGTTAACGGTACGTTTACTGTACTTTGATCTAGCGATCTTTTCAAGATCGCCTGTAGAAGACCATGGGGCGCGATTTCTATAGTTATCGCATCGGACGGGATCATTGTAGCGGTTTCCGCAAATAATACGGAGCTTAACAAGTTATTCGTGTGATACTCTGCGGAAGAGTATTTAGCGGCTTCTGTATACCATTGATTACGGGGTACAGAAGTGCTCACCCACTTGGAGCTTCTTAATTTTGGTTCGGGAATCACCTTTTTCAAATATGCTAATAATTTTGGTCCTGCCTGGGCAATGTAGCGACTATGATACGCGATGTTGCTACACGGCACTTCTCTCGCGAAAATTTTGTCAGCCTGAAACGATCATGAATTTTTAGAAGTGACTGTTGAAGACGGTGGGTAATGGCAGGGGTGTAGTACGAACCTGTAATTCTGCAACAAATTGCTTCATTGATTCAGCTGGTCCACTTATGGTAGAACTGTCAGGGCCATTGTGGCAGGCAACTTCTATATCAGGTGGACACAAGTCTTTTATTGTCTCGTATCCAAGACCAACTGCGGCCATAGAACCTCGAATCAATTTAGTTTCTATGGATGCTAAACCCCTAGAATATGCTGCGAGCACCATTTGTTCAGCCGTAAAGCATCCATCAGCGTATGCGCAACCGAGTTCTCCGACAGAATGCCCGATTATATTATCCGGTTCGATACCCACGGATGTTAACAGATCAACAAGACCGATCTGAAGGAATATTTTCAGTTCTAGTAGAATACGGCTAAGCATAATAGCAAATTTTACAGGCTTTATAAGTATTTTACTTGGACTGCGGCGATCCCAACGAACGAATTTAAGATATTATCGAAAGTCTTCTTATCCTTGTTAGTAAGAATATCAAAGATATCCACACCGTGCGGCTTCAACACTGCATCGCACTTTTGAATAGCCTTGTAGAAAATTGGGAACTTCATCAATGCCTCGCCTATTGGATTGTGAAACGAAATTAAAATTATATAAATCTCTTCCCTGCTGGTTGTCTGCGTAAGTGACATTAAATGTTTCCGTATATGTACCCATGCCAGGCCACTGGGATCCCATTCCAGAAAAGACAAACCAAATGGGCCTTTTCACGCCAGAATATTGTTCAATCTCTTTGACTGGTTTTTCTGATGGTTTGGAACTAAGGAGTGTATAGCCTCGGAACATGTATCCAGGTATGTCTTCGGCATGTACATCTTGTAAAAGTCGAATGTATTCTACGTCCACAGGTATACTTTCCAAGTGGCTGAGGAGGATGTCCACTGCTTCCTTTGTGCGACCAGACACTGCTACCAATCGAGGCAAATCATCAGAAGGTGCTCCATTGTTCACTTTCTCCTTCGTGAACGATTTCAGCAAAACGTGAACATTTGCGCCACCGAAACCGAACGAGTTTATCCCTACGTAGCCACCCTCCCATGGAGTTGGTTCCGTAACTACTTGAAGTTTTCCTTCCTCGAAACATTTCACACCGTTCGTTGGACTTGTAAAGTGCAAATTTGGTGGAATTAAACCGCTTTCCATCGCAATGATGACCTTGAAATTTTTTGCGATTATTAGTTCTTATTTGGAAGAAATAAATCATTTATCCTTTAAAACATCATATCATCAATGTACCTTAGCCACTGAACAGAGACCGCTAGCAGGTTCTGTATGACCCATATTCGATTTAACGGAACCAATCTTGAGGGGTGTACTTCTGCCCTGACAAAATACTTTATCGATCGCGTTTAGTTCTTCAGGATCGCCGACTCTAGTTCCTGTGCCGTGAGCCTCCATGAAGGCCAGATCGTTAGG